GTACCTGTCTAACAACTGCTGGATACTGAAAACATTGCATAGGCTGCAAATCTTAATGTTATCCCACCCCATATGCAAATTATGCTATCTTTGTCAAAGAGATTTTAAGATCAGATAAAAGAAGATAAGTGCTTAAATGATGAGCTCTGTCCCGAAAGAATAGTCTCTGGCTTATTTTGCTAGTAATAACAAGACATTTCTTTCAGTTTATTTATTATTAGAAATTGCTTTCTCATCTACAAAAAAATGATACTATTCACAAAAGGCACAGAAGAAGCGTCTCTGAATACACACTGCGATTCAACCAGCAATCACATCAGGAATTCTGGGGCTTTTGTGTTCCAGCTATTGTATCCCTGAGGGAACATCTGCTGAATTACCTACTTGAGATCCACTCTACAGCCGCTGCCTTTCCTGAGGGAGAAAAAGGAGTGTATGGTACACACAGAACAGAGAACTGCGGGGTGGATGTTGATGTGATGTGAAAGGCACACCCCCACCTCCTTGTGTGAAAAGACATGGAGAGCTGCCCCAGGTTTAAAGAAACTTCATTTCTTGCAACTCACAGAATCTAGAAGAAAGATCCTTTGGTATCCATGGAATTTTGTTCACACAATTCATTCAGTCAATGTGTTTTGAGTCCTTGGTAGACACTAGGTCTCAGGGGCCATGCTGGCGCACAGGAAGAAAGGGTCTATTTCAGACTAGCACCAAGTCTTCCATGTCCACCATCATGCAGGCAGAGTGCCACAGGACCAGTCACTGGAGCTAGGATAGAATAGAAGTCAAAGGGAACTTTCAAATTCAAGGTCAGAAATGGAAGCTCAGTGTACAATGGGAGTGAGAACAAGGGTCCCAAAAGCTGCTTTGGAAGAGGTGGGCGTCATGAGGGAGTTGCACCGTTTCATAGATGTGAACTATTAAGGGCAATGGTATGAGCTTCTCTGAGGAGCAAGACCACCCACTAAGCAAAGTCCTGTTCTAGATTGGTGACAGAGTCACACATCTTCTTTGGGCTATCACCTTATTCCATTTTATCTTGCAGGGGTAAACTGGCCTTCCAAAGTGTGAAGTAGCGTGGCAAGGAGCCACAGGTATTATTACTGGGAACCATGGAGGTACATGGAGACTTTTACAAAAGAAAACAGATCACACCAGAGTCCATGAAAATGGAGAACACCTTTCAGTGAAGTCAGAATTCCTTACCAAAGTGAACTCTTTTCCCCAAGAAGACAGCTATGAACATCGTCAAGCTAAACCACAGCCAACTGCAGCTCTGTAGAAAGTCAATACTACTACTTTAGTGAGGGCAAGGAGACTTGGAGACAGTGCAGGTTGGGGAGACACTGCACTTAAAATGAAGTACACCTTCCCCTTAAGCAGTGCTTGTCTTTTTTTCAAAAGGACACAACAATTGACTGGGACGGCAGGTGCATGGGATAAGTAGGTGACTGGAGAGTTTGCCAGATACAAGGTAATCAACAACTCGTCCATGGCTTACTGTCACATCCTTCCATCTCAATTTCATGGGAAGCTAAATGCCAACCCCTTGGAATGTAAGTTACAGGGATACTGGGACAACCATTCTCTCCGTTTTTAGGTGGATTTTGGTTAAATGTTCTGTCGGTTAGCCAGAGTGTGTGACAAAACACTCCAAGAAGGCAGTACAGTAAAACAGCAATGTCTTACTTTGTTCAGAAGACCGGCAGGCAGTTCTGGCTGGGCTCCAGTGAGAACTTTGCCTGCCATCCTTGGCTCGGCTTCCTTAATCATCTCTGGCAACAGTCACGGTGTCTGCCTGGCTATGCTGGTGGGTGAATAGTCTGCCATCATCTCCCACATTGACTGACTGCCTTGGTTTATCCTTGCTGGGATGAGTGGAATGAACCGGCCCTGGGTCTCTCATGATCAGGGCAGCCTGTGCTACTTCACATTACTCTCAAGGTGCATCAAGCACTGAAACAGGCAAATCCTCCAGGACAAGCACTTTCAAGTCAGCTGGCTTCATGTTTGCTCTTGTCAAACCCGAAGAAGTGAGCTACATGGCAAAGGCCAGAGACAAGGGCAGAGGCAGAGGGACACCTCCCACTTGTTAGCAGTCTACTACCACAGAGATCTGTGGCCTGCCTTGACTATCATGAGAAAAAAACTTACAGTTTAACAAGTCATACCTCACAAGCCTGTTCTCTTAAAAACTGGCCTTCGTATTTCTTTATAAATAAGAGCTAGCCTTCCCTTATTCCGCTGAGTGAATAACACAATTATTTTATGAAATGCTGGAATGGATGTATCTGAAATTCATTCATTCTGGGAGAAGTTGTAAGGGACTGTCCTTAGAAAGTGGTGCCATTCCGCGAACGGTGCAGGTCACCGCAAACTTCTTTCCCCCTTCTGCTGTTTGCAGTCTTCAGTTCGCTCTTTGCCACTGGTCTCCTTCACTCTGTTCTTGCGTTTCCTTTCACTGTTCTCCTGAGATCTTTTTCTTCTCCTGCAGGCCAAGCCTTGACAGTCTGTATTTAGGTTCATCTGTCTTTGAGCAATCCAAGAAATCATAAATGATGCCAAAACCATCACCAAAAATGGGTTCTGACTCCAACTACAAGGATGACATCTGATGTGGTCCTTCACATTTTGTCTAGCTTTCCCCAAATTTCTTTCTTCATTAGTGTTGCTTTTCTAGGGTGAACGACATCAAAGGCCACCCATGTCTTCTGTGGTAGACAAAGGAAATGAACATGCTGGCCTGGATAGTCACTGTGGTATTCTAGATGATGGCAACCCTCCAGAAGCAAGGAGGCAGGAACTCCTTGGCTTTGGTTTAATCAGACAGTTGGAATCTGCCACAGATCCCAGCACAAACTACTAGCTGCCACCTGTGCCTCCTGCTTAACTCCAGCATTCAGATGGCCAAGAAGAACTTTTGACATTTCTTTTACTATTATTAAGCCTAAACTAAATTTTTAGGACTTCTTATATTTTTTATTTGTTTTGTGGGAGTTGACATTGCCCATTTGACTGTCTTTGTTGCAACTGTCTTTTCCATGTGTTTGCAGTCATGACATAGGAAAGCTGCTGTTCTTGCAAACACTGACATTACATTCGTAAGTTAACAGAAAACAATGTCCATATTTTCCTGAGTTTTACCTAAGAATATATCACCCACAAATCAAATCACACTAATCATTTATCCAGGATGGTAGACATTGATCTCTCACAATCCCATTGCCCCAGTTTGGAGCTTCTTAAGAGACATTTAACAATATGGTTATAACAAGCTTATTGCATATATATATGCATATATAACAAGCATATTTACCTGCAACCTGATGGAATAGGATGTGCTTTTATCGAGTTCTTTAATGGTAATTCTGAGAGTGTCTACATTGAAGAAAGTGGCTTGACAGCTCTCTTTACCTAGATTGTCTTTAATCACAGGTTGATCCTCTCCAAAGGTCTCTGATTATTCTTCCCTCCTTATCATATCTTCAGTAGCAATGGTATCGCTATACAGCCCAGTCTGTCCACCTGCTTCTGCCCATCTCCTCCCCACATGACCAGGTCTTGGGCACTGCAGACCACGTCAGTCATTTACAAAAGCCATATCCTGGCTGAGATAGCTCACATTTGAAACCCTTGACAATAGGATCATTGTTATTCCTGTTTCTGGTTTACCTGGTGTGGAAAATACATTGCTCAGTTAATCCTTGAAATCTGCGCTGTGTGGGTCACAGTCACCTCCCAAGTTTTCTGAGTTCACTTCCCCTTGGTGAAACTGTTTTCCTCTCCAAAGCAGGGTTCTGTAACCTTTAATCCACCCCAGGACCCAATTGATGCCAGGAGAGTGATGGTGGGAGATAGACAAGATTCCTAAAACAATGGGGAGACATTCGGTGCCCCCAAATATCTAGAAGTCTACACTAGAAAATGAATGAGAGAATCCTCAGGGAAAATAAAAAAAAGTATGGTTAAAGTTTTGTGTTAATTTTGGACTCTAGGGTGTTGCTTCTCTGGCAAGAGGTCGGTGTGATCAAAGCACCCTGAACTTTGCAATCTCCGAATGGAAACCACCAGGCCAAGGCAATGGCTCACTAGGTAAAGTGCTTGGGGCTCAAGAGGGAGGACCTGAGTTCTGTCCCCACCACCCACATACAAGCCAGCCTGCAATCCCAGTGGCAGGAGTAATCCAGAAACCCAGACTCTGAATTCCCGGGGCTCTCTGGTCCAGTGCAGTCTAACTGTCCCCAACCTGCCCTCAAAGTCATAATGGAGGGAGAGCAATAGAAGCAGCAAGGGAAGGTATCTTTGCCCACCTTGGGCCTACACCTGTTCAAAGAGAGCACTCACAGGTGCGCATCAATTATTTTCAAGAATCACCAAACCCCCGAATGCTCCCATGTAAGCAGGCCAGTAAAGGGTGCAGTGTGTAAGAATGGAGGTGCTTGACAGGGAAACCAAGACTGTGTGGGGGTGCTGCTCCAGAAACACCCTGCAATGGGGTGCAAACAAGGCTTGGACCAAGGAGTCCCGGGGTTCAAAGACTGGAAACAGGGAACTGGGAACTGAGGAACAGGGAGGCTATACATGATGTGAATAGGGGTTGTGTACAAGTGTTTAAGGCAAGGGCTGAGCCAAGATGGTTGACAAGCCGCAGAAGAGAACCTATTGAAGAAAGCAAGCTGCATGTGACTCAGCAAAGATTATTCTGGCAAGACTGCCATTGGTCATTTTGGCGACACCAGCCTTCTGCCTATAAATAAGGCAGTGCTGTTCATGATGGGAGAGGACGATGATGCCAGCCTCGACCCTGCAGCATGTGCCTTTTTCAGGGAGGCCCTGGCCCCCGCTGCTGCCATGTCTGGCAGAGACACACATGTGGTGAGGACCCTGCGCAATGTCACAAATGGGGTGCACTTCCCCAGGGCAGTGAGTGTTAGAATCTTCCCAGGCAAGGCAGTGTGCGGCGCCTGCGCAGTGGACCTACAGCATCACGCGTTGCAGGAGGGAGTCGGGAGACCCCCACCTCCGCCCCTCGCCCTCTGCCGCCGCCGCGTGCGTGCACGCGGACCCGGCCACGCGCGCGCACGCGCCTCACCTGGCTCAACCCCTGCCGGGGCGGCCGGCGACGGAGCAAGCGCGTGAGCGCGGACAGGCAGGCGGGTAGGGACCGCGCACGGTCCAGTCGGGGGCTGTGCGGAGGCGCGGGCTCTGGGCACCCGGATCCTGGCGGCGGTAGCGGCGCCTCCAATCAGGCAGCGGGCTCGCGACCCTCTGCACACTCGGTCGGCACTGCCCGCCCCGCGGACTGACTGACGCGCCGGCTCGCCCCCGCCCCCGCGCCCGCCCCCGCCTCGTCTACCCAAGCTCGGCTCAGGCTCCACTCGGCTCCACTCTGCTTGGCTCCTCTCCGCTTGGCTCTGCTCTGCTCCGCTCTCCTCCAGCCCTTGCCAGGCCCTTTCCCTGCCCGCAGCAGCTCCTCGGCTGCGCAGCGGCGGCCCGCTCGGCAGCTGCAAGCGACCAGAGAGGCGGCGGAGGCGCCCAGGATGAAGTGCAAGCCGAACCAGACGCGGACCTACGACCCCGAGGGCTTCAAGAAGCGCGCCGCGTGCCTGTGCTTCCGCAGCGAGCGCGAGGACGAGGTGCTGCTGGTGAGCAGCAGCCGCTACCCCGACCGCTGGATCGTGCCCGGCGGGGGCTTGGAGCCCGAGGAGGAGCCGGACGGCGCGGCGGTGCGCGAAGTGTACGAGGAAGCAGGAGTCAAGGGGAAGTTGGGCCGGCTGCTGGGAGTCTTCGAGCAGAACCAGGACCGCAAGCACCGGACCTACGTGTTCGTGCTCACCGTCACCGAGCTGCTGGAGGATTGGGAAGACTCGGTCAGCATTGGCAGGAAGCGAGAATGGTTCAAGATCGAAGATGCCATCAAGGTCCTCCAGTGCCACAAGCCCGTGCATGCCGAGTACCTGGAGAAACTGAAGCTGGGCGGCTCCCCGACTAATGGAAACTCGGCCGCCCCGTCCCAGCCAGAGAGCGAGCCCTAGTATGTACCGCTCCCGCCCGCCCGCCTGCCTGCCCATCCGTCTGCCCGGACTCCTGCCTGTCGCCTCCCCGCACTTGCCTCCTGCCTGCCAGGAGAGCACCTCTCCTGCCCAGTGCGCCCGCACGGGCAGGAGGGAGTCTTCTTTTGTTTCCTTGGCAGGCAGACCTCTGAATCACGCTTGCAAACTGTCTTGGTTGCCAGGCTCTGTTTGCAGACAATTTGCACGTTTTTTTCAGATGCTTTTCTAATCGCTTCTTGGTGACACTGTAAAAATCTTGCGCTCAGCCAGAGATGCATGGGATTTTGTGAAAGGTGCCTTACTGCTTGCCCTGCTCTTCATGGATGGTGTGTGCGCGCGTGTGGTGTTTTTGTTTGGGTCTTTTTTTTTCTTTCAACACCCTTTACATGTGTTTTGCGTGAGTGTGCGTGAGCGCTTTTGATGTCAGCCTTGTGGTTTGTTTCTTAGTGGAGGCCTTTAGAGTCCTACCAGCAGGCGGGGGAGAGGGAACGGGGGGGGCATCTTTTTGTGTTTTTTTCCCCTTGTTTTCTCATTCACAGCCTTGGTTCTTGGCATTGTGCCGTTCTTGGTAGATATTGACTCGGATGATTTATTTGTAATTAATATAAGAAAAACTGAAGACCTTTTACCTTTCCTTTCTGCACCCAAACTGTCATCTAACATGCTCAACTTCCTGTATTTTCATGACCAAAAACCATTCTAATGTCCATAAAATTCTACAGTTGATGATTTCTCACTACATCATCAATGGTAGCGTTTTCTTGAAAATTAAAATGGATATGTTCATTTCTTACATAAGTTACTGGGGCTTACTCCGATAGACTGGCTCTTTCTAGAGACGTGCTAATAAGATACTTTTTTTTTTATCGGTGTAACACTATACAAGAGTTTTAGCCTACTCATCCGTCAGTTTCCAACTCCCAGCACCTTCCTGGATATTCTTTTTAAATGTGCTTTTCTTGGTGTACATTCATTTTTAGAAAGTAATCTATACTTGAATTTAGTGACTTCTCGATTTAAACTTCCTGGCTCTCGCTCGGTAACTGTAAGAATGGAATCTTTTATGGTGACTGCATATCTGCAATCATTCCAGACATTTCTAGTCTTTAAATTCGTGTTGCTTGCTGTTAACAAATGTCTCAGACTGTGAGGACATGAACCACTGAGTAAAGGTTTCAGTACTTATAATAAACTTTTTGATTGCTGTACTGTTGTTACTGTTACCTTGATACTTGTTTGAAATAAGGAGCCACCTCTACAGTATGTCATTCTCTTTTCTGGAACTATCCTCAGGTCCCCTGCCATGTCTATTTAGCTCTCTAGAAAGCCTTTCTAAAAGATAGTATTAAGACTGGAAAGATCATCCCATATTTTATGTGAGCATTTATAAGAAACATCTTGGATGAGAACAATGAATATACTTGGGGCAATAATGACCATGTAAAAGAACTAAACTCCCTTGAGTTAGAACTTTTTACTTTTTATTAACTTATTTCGGAATTTCATAGGCTATATTTTGATCATCCTCTTTTTCATGCCCCAAGTCCTCTCAGGTGTCATCACCCCCCAACCCACACTCGACTCTGTGTTCTTTCTTTCTAGCTCAAAAACAAAACCCAAGGAAACAAAACATACAAAAGACAAACACCAATTCATTACAAAATAAAAGCACACAAAATAACTTGGGGTCCATTTTGTTGTTGGTCAACTACTCCTGAGCATGAGGCCTCAGCTGGAGTTTGGCTGATACAGGTAGTGTCACTCCACTAAAGAAAACTGAATTTCTTTCTCCCAGCAAGTATCTTCTTGGTTAGGGGTGGGACTTTGTGCCCACTTCCCTTTCACCATGCTGGAATATTGTCTGGCTTGAATTTGTGCAGGACTTGTACATGCTCTCACAGGTTCTTTGATCTCGTATGTACTTCAATCCTGGTGTGTGTACAAGATGCTGGTTCTCTGGTGTCATACACCTCTTCCCCACAGATCCCTGAGCCTTGAGGAGGAAGGGGTGTTTGAGAAAGAGATCCCATTTATTGCTTTCAAATTACATTTTTAAAGCATAATCACTGCTAAAACTTTAATAGGACATCACCTTTTTAAAAAAAATTCATTAATGCACAAATCAGTGTTTGAATCAATTTGTACTCCATGAAAATATGAAGAATATCAAAGTATGCAGCTCCGGTAATTCATAATATCTGTTTCTAATAGCAAAGCCATTATATTTGCCCCCGTCACTATACTAGGCTGCTTCTGTCTTTTAATACCAGAGATAATTTTGGTTTTGAACCCTGTGTATACTTACTGCCTTTTTGTATGACTTATGTGCAGAGCATTCAAATGTGTTTTTCCATTTGGTTTTTTATTTCAAAATTAATATTGTTTTAAGCTTCTAAACGTGGGGCCCTTGTATTTTCTGAAAAAATGATTTCCTTTATGAAAAAATTTACTTCATATTTAACGTATAAACCCTAATTTCCAAAATATATTTCAATCTCCTACCAAAGAAAAGAGTATATGACTAATTTGAAGCACTTATCTTTATTTCCAATCAAAATTACTTTTACTAGTTAAAAAGTTTCTAGTAGATTCTGCAATTTTATCTCCATTAACCTTATGTTCTACATTGACATGAATTCAGCTTTATGGGTTTATAAAATAAATACCCTAGAAACCCTGTCAGAAATGCAATGGAGGATTTCCTTGTACTTGCTACTGCTAGAGTCACTAATGTGCCATCCTTTAAACTTACATTTATTTGTGTGGGCACACACGCATGTGCACATGTTTATGCTGGTGAGAGAATGTCATTGTGTACCTGTGGAGGTCTGAGAACAATGTGTGGGAGTGGTGTTCTCTTCTTCCACCATGCAGGTTCAGGGAACAGAACTCATGTGGTCAGGGTTGCTCGCAAGTGCTTTACCCCCTGAGTAATCCTGTAGGGCCTCTTAGTGCATCCTTACATTATAAATCTTACATAATCAAAAGTGTATTCATAATCCATTATAAAAATGTTTGCCTATAAATACACTGTGAATTTTTCTCATCAAGATTTTGCCAGTAGTCCCAGATTTAAAAACATTATTGGGGATGGTATATTAATTCTACCAGTCTTCTAAAAACTACTCAACAACTGGGTATTTTTCCAAGGGTATTAATCCATTTTATATAGTATTTATGATTATACTAAAATATACAACCAAACTTTTACATCCATCTTTCAAGTGAAAAGGGAAGAGTACAACATCAGATAATTGTGATTTTTCAGATATGAATTAGAAATTTCTTTTCCAGCCGGGCAGTGGTGACGCACGCCTTTAATCCCAGCACTCGGGAGGCAGAGGCAGGCGGATCTCTGTGAGTTCGAGGCCAGCCTGGTCTAGAAGAGCTAGTTCCAGGACAGGCTCCAAAAGCTAAGGAGAAACCTTGTCTCAAAAATAAATTAAAAAAAAAGAAATTTCTTTTCCATCCATTTTATAAATAGCTTTCATTTTCCATTTTCATTTGTTCAAGTGTTTTGTTGGTACCTGTGTATTTTTCTGGGCCTCTTGCATGCTGAGCATGTACTGGACTACTGAGCCCCACTCTCAGCTCCATGATAAAGTGTTTTGTTGTTTCAGATATACAAAGAGGAAACAAGTTAGTATAGGTTTATGTTAATATAAGTTTGTATATATACTGGAAACATGTACTCTGGCCTATACTTTAAAGAAACAAAGTAAAGGCAGGAAATTGACTTGTATATTCCATTTGCTTTATTATTCTGTACAGATTCATTTGAGATATTTGATAAGGCTTTTCATTTTATAAGAATGACTTACAGGTTGTAGATGAAAATTTTCCCTGAGCAGAGCTTTTACCTCCAGGCTTACTATTTTCCTGGTAGCCCTGTTATGACACTGTATGTAACATAGTTAGAACAGTTCTGAGCAAACAGAGCTATAGGAAATCAGTATGGCTACGTGACACTTTCACGAGAGAACAGGAAGTTATAGAAACTTCACAGACACTGGGAAGTCAGACCTAGTTGTAGTTCTTATAGTGTAATTTCACCAGTTACCAAATCATCTGACACTCAAGTTTTTTTCTTCAGTCTGTCTTTGTAGACGATACAAATAGATACTGTGTAGATATCTCCAATGAGCTATCCCTTTCAAATGCATGAAGAAGCATACTTCTGTGCAATGGTTAACAGTTTATTGTACATGACCAATGTGTATTGCAATGTGTCCACTAGCCTGAATTATTCCTGTAAGTTTCGACTCTAGTCTAGAAGGTAGAATTCTCTGGTTTCACAATGAGAAAGAGAGGAGAGAGAGAGAGAGAGGGAGAGAGAATGTGTGTGCATGTGTGTACCCATAGTTCCCTCGACTGCTAATCTCGGTTCACAGTGCATTTGCTCTGGAGCCTGTGTGGGCTTTCTAAATACCAAGTGATTGGTGCACCTAATGTGTCCTTAGGAACTTTGTTGCTTGGAAGAATTGTAAATAAACACCTGCAATATATATGTTTGTTTGTTTTTCCAGATGAACAGGAACCATGCTCAAGATTACACTGAAGTAAAATCATTGATGTGAACCCAGTATTCAGTGGTATTTCCAAGTTCACCGGAGTACTTTTAAGGTTCCCAAGGAGACCACTCATCTGGTTTTCCTTCTACATCCTGGAACACTCCTCCGTCTGTTTTACCAACATTTTTGCTCTGGTTGTTGTACTATTGTATGTGAGCGGACTTAATTCAGCACCTATAGCCTTTTGTTGTGCTTTACTGATGTGTCTGCCTTGTTCATTAGACTATTATCTTTGAGAGCAACGACTATTTTTCCTTAACTCTACATATCCTGCATCCAAGACACTACTTGAAATTTGGTTGGCATCACTGGAGGTCTTTGATTCAATTCATATTTTGTAATCTCTTTGTGGCAAACATTTCCCTCCCAATCTGGTGCTAGGAGAGTGTCTGCTGTCTAAGCACCATGTGTGTGGCTTGTGTGTAACAGGTGTTTCGTAATCATTGCAGGACAGGTGGAGATGGTCACCGAGAAGCGTTAGCACTCATTCCTGTGTCATACCATGCATTGGCTGGCACAGTTTTAATACTGTGCCATCATTTAGAGTAACATTTTATAGAGTTAGTCCTTCATGTAACAACTTTAGTGTTTTTGTACTGTTATTAATTTGCTTAAAATTTTATTCAGAAGTATCACTTGCTATAAAGGTCATTGTAAAAACACTACAATCAAATCCTATTGTGAGTTTTTATAAAAGTAAATTTTAAAGTAATATACAAATAATACATTTAATTTTTTTGCAATGCTCTATCTACTTCTTAAATGTCAACATTTCCTTGCAGAAAATGCTGGGTTTTTTTTTATTTTAAAGATTCAATATTCTGTAATATTTAATGGTGAACACAAAGAAAAGCTGCTTTGAAAGCAGGTTTTTCAGAGCTATTTATGCCATTTAGTTGCCTAAGTGTCTTTTGCCTCTCATTGTTTCAGTTGGCTGTGGTTCTCATCCCTTTTCTAGTACACCCAACTAGCTTCTCGGTAGGTACCACATGCTTTCTGCATGTAAAATCGCAAAAGGCTGAGAGGGCTAAATTGGTGTCACTTAGAAAGGCTTCAGGGAAAAAGACTGCTGTAAAGGGGAACACAAGATGAAGAATTTAAGAGGTTTATGGCAAAGACATGGAAATTTCACAGCGTTTTGCCACAGGGTGTGTGATGTCATTACTCTTTCTCAGCTCACTACAAGGGTTCCAAAGAGGTTCTAATATGGTTGTTGTGTTTTACCATTATAAACCATTATATTGGGAAAGGCTTGAACTCCAATTTAGTGTTAACACCCTTCCTCGTGCCAGTGAAATGTATTGTGTCCCCATATCTTACAGACTTTGAAATAAAACTACATCTTATAATTTACTGGAGTTTCTACTTGTGATATGTACTGTGGTTTTGCTTACTAAAGAAACCCTTATCGTTTAGAGAACTGTACTGAAAATTTACAGATATGCTACTGTTAATTGCTTCAATATAATCAGGGTGGTATAAGTTTGTATATAGATGAAGCAAGATTGGCTTTGATTTGATAATCGTTGAAGCTGTGTGATAGATTCATTATTCTCTATACTTTTGTATATGTTTGAAATTTTCCATAATAAAAATTGCAAAGATGTATTCCTTAGAGTTTCCTAGTAGGCCACTTCCCTCTTTAGAAGTATGATGGGTGGTCAGAATAATAATTCACAGAAAGATAAAACTGTTCTTCTAAAGAGCTGGCTTTTCTTCCTAATCTATATGTGTTGCTAACTATAGGTCTCTTTCCAAGAAGTTTTTTTTTCCCCTTGGAAGAGCTCCAGTTAACATGTGCAAAGGGACCTTAGCTCACCCAGTATCCAATATGTGACCAATGACATAAGTTAAAGTGCAGATCAAACAACAATCCATTTTACAATCTTTTTTAAAAAAAATATGTATATAAGGGTTTTGATGCCCATGTGTATGTGCACTTTATGAGGTCACCAGATCCCCTGAACTGGGGTTAATGATGTTTTGTAAACTGCCAGTTTGATGCTGGGAACCCAACTCAAGTCCTTTGCAAGAAGAGTGAGTGTTCTTAAATACCCATCCATCTCTCTAGTCCCACAATTTTCTTAAAGAATAATATGTTCAAATTCATCTTCATAAAATTCTAAAAATGAAAAAACAAATGAGTAAAAATAATTCACAATCCCTCTTTCCAGAGATAACCAAGCTTTAAGAACAAGCTCAGTCTTGATTCTTTGCATATAATCGTATATATTATATGATTATATATCACACACATGCATACACACACACACATACACACACACACACATCCACCAGAATGTTTAGAACAAGTCCATGGTGTTTCTGGTTTAATCACATTCCACACTGGTACAATGCTCTTCCTTAGAACGTGTTAGGTTGCTGCTACAGGCTATTATAAAATTTGTGCTGCTTCAGACATGTACAAATACGGGAAGCACAACATAAAACTTGGACCTGAACTCTAGATACACTGTATTTACAAATTTCTGGGGCAATTTTGCTGTGTGTGTGTCCCTGTGTCCCAATATCCTCACACACAAAGCTCTGAAGCCACGGATTTCGAAGTAGTCAGTTCGGATGGCATAACAGCTAGTGTCTATTATCAGCTTAGAATTGTCTGGAAATAGAGCCTCTGGACAAGTGTATAGGGATTGGTATTGACTGGGTTAACTGAGCTGGGAAGTCCTGCCCATTGTGTGTGGAAACAAGTCTAGGTTGAAATTTTGGCATGTGGAAGTGGCCAAAGCTGAGCAACAAGAAACCTTCATTCCTGCCTGGGTCTTGATTTCAGATGTCCTGACCAGCAGTTTCAAGTTCCTGTGCCTTGACTTCCCATTATGATGAGACTAAGTGTACCAGCCTTTTTCTTTTGGGCTACCAGGACCAGCTCATAAATCATGACATGCCCAGCCTAGCTTAGGCTCCTTTCTGGCTAGCTCTTTTAAATGAACCTGTTTCTCTGTATCTACCTTTTGCCTCGGAGCTTATTACCTGTCTTCTGTATATCCTACGGTCACGGTTCTCTACGGCTAGCTGGTGTCTGCCTAGCTTCTTGCCCCGGGTATATCCCTCATTTTTCTCCTCTTTCTTCTCTGAGTCTAGATTGCTCCTCCCATTTATTCTCTCTGCCTCCGAGCCTTGCCTATCCTTTCTCCTGCCGGTCGGCAAGATGAAACAGATATAACACGTGTTTGCATCATTTAAAAAATACAGCACAAACAAAAGTAACACATTTACACAGTTAATGTCATATTCTGCAGCATAAGCAAATGTAATATTTCACAGCACTATGCCCTTGAATTGTGAACTGAAAGAAAACTTTTCTCCGCCCTTGAATTGTGAACTGAAAGAAAACTTTTCTCCCCTGAATTGCTTTTGCTGGAGTGTTTTACCATGGTGACAGGAAAAGAAACTGAGACAAATGGGTTCTCAGAAGGAAAATAATTGCAGCACATTGGCTTCAAATAAGCCTCACATACAAAGCTCTAACTGTTTTACAAGATGTTCATTTTCTCTAGGTCCTCCTCTGTCTGTGATGTCATTCTGTAGCCCCTGACCCCAATATGGTTGCTATTCTGAACAGCTGTTTCTAAATGGTAACCAAGGATACCTCTTACTTTGGAGTAAAGGAAAGGAGCACTGTTCTCTGCCCTTTACCTTTTTAACACATAAAGTGCCCTCACCCTTATATATTTTCCTACAGCACATTAGACACCACTCTGGTAGTTTAATGGGATTTTACTGAAGATGGCGAGACTATGTGAAGAAAATACAATACAAACATAGGGAGTTTTGTGAGATGGCTCAGAGGGGAAGATATTTACCACCAAACATTCAGCCTTAGTTTGATCATCCAAATCCACATGGTGAAAAAGTAGAAAACTTCAGTTGTCCTCTGACATCCACACATACACCATGGCACTTGCAACAACATGTTCATGCACACATGCATACACACATACACACACACACACACACACACACAGAGAGAGAGAGAGAGAGAGAGAGAGAGAGAGAGAATGTTATTTTTTTTAAAAAAGAACACATACTTTACATTTAGCATATATAAAATATATGCTAGAAGGATAAGGTCCTTTCTAGATCCAGCCCTGGACTTGTTTTCTAATACAATCTGACCCAAGTGCCTTGAAATAATGTCTCCAAATGAAGTAGCATGTGCAGGGCCTGCATGAGCCTGCACGGGTCTGTGCCAGGTCCTTTGTGTATATATCATGACTTCCAGTTTAGAGTTTTTATGGGAATCCAGAGTGTGCAAATGAGTGGGCCTCTGACTCTTATATCTTCTTCTTGGGCTCTTCCTTCTGTTGGTTTGTCCTATCCAACTTTGATGTGATAGTTTTGGTTTTATCTTATTATATTTTATTTTGTTATATTTTCAAATGAATGAATGAGAATCTCACCACTAGGGTGTTGAAGGAGGGTACTGCTTATTGGTACCCGGCTGCCCAGTTAGCTTAGCCCCAAAATAATCACACAGAAACTGTATTAATTAAATCACTGCTTGGCCCATAAGCTCTAGATTCTCATTGGCTAACTCTTACATCTTAATTTAACCCATCTCCATTATTCTGTGCATCACCACAAGGTTGTAACCTACCACCAAATTTCAGCACATCTGTCTTCAGCAGGGGCTCCATGGCGTCTCCCTGACTCTGCCCTTCTTCCTCCCAGCATTCAGCTTAGCTTTCCCTGCCTACCTAAGTTCTGCCTTGCTATAGGTTCAAAGCAATTTCTTTATTCATTAACCAATAAAAGCAACACATAGACAGAAGGACCTTCCATACCACTAGGGTAAAGGTTAACAACTGAAATGTCACATATCTGCTGGAAAAAGAAAATCCATTTTCTCCAATAGAATGACACTGAGTATATCAACTACTGCAGGGCAGGCAGGGGTAGTTAACCAACATATAATGGACTACACAGTGTGTGTGTGTGTGTGTGTGTGTGTGTGTGTGTGTGTGTGTGTGTGTGCTTTTATTTGGTTATACTTTGGTGGGGTTTTGTTTATTTGTTTTTCTTCTGGGGTATGGTTTTATTTTCTTGGGTTTGGGGGTTTTGTTGTATTTGATGTTTGCTTGACTTTTTGAGAAACAACCAAAAGTTGGGTGGCTAGAGAGGGGGAGAAGATCTGGAATGACTTGGGGGAAGGGAAGAATATGCTCAAAATATATGTAAATTCAAAATTCTTTTAAATAATAAACACATTTTTTCATTGGTTATACTAAACTTGTAGGATTTTAATAGGGTAAACTGGGTGTAAGGTACCTCTCTACTACCTTCTTGACTTTTATGTGAATCAAAAAAAAAAACTTGTCTTAAAAAGCAAAGTCCATTTAAAAATTTCCATGGGGAAAAGAAAAGTCCCTCTAATATCTATCACTTCCAAAAATGGAGAGTTTGAAGTTTCACATCATAGCCATGGTGGTTCTCATGGCTATGAAGCGAAAAAAGCTGCTCTCTAAACTCTTATCTCTCTAGAACCTGAACTACCTCAAATCTATTGCCCCAGAAAAGAATGTTCACCTGAAGCCAATGAAATGAATCAGTGAGTTAACATTGTGAGTTGAGGATGAAATCCAGTTTTACCTAACTTCAAAGCTCATACTCTTTGAATGAAGATGATGGACAAGACTGACCAAATGTGGTGAATTCCGTGTTACTCATTTTTCTGAAATGATTAACTTGGGAAAGAAAAAGAGCCCCTCCATTGTCTAAAAAGACTACTGAAACACAGCCTGGTCAGGTCTACACAACAATATGAAGAAGCATGCAAGTATTTCTGGGAGTCTGGACTCATTTGATAGCAGTGCTGAGGGAATAGAGGAGGGCAGAGGACAGGACTGATTAAAAGAAGTGCTCCCTTTTGTCTACTCAGTCAAACTTAAGCTTTATTTCTTGGCTGCTACAAAGAAAATATGGAAGTCTTCAAAAGCCATTCTGAGTAGGCAGGTCCATTACTTCATCATGATACCCGGTACACATTTTAGAAATCACTAACTAATTTCTTTTAACATGAAATAACTTTACATATTAATGGAACATAGTGTGGTATGTTGATACACAAATCCAGCACATAATGATCAAATCAGAGCAATTGGTATGTCTTCTTCCATATAAATTAGTTTATCTTAAAATTCAGATGTAGTTTGATAGAAAAGATCCCATTAGTCAAACGCAGATGAGAAAACTGAGGCTCAACATGGTTAAGTAAAATGAGTCATTCTCAATAAAAAACAGAGGTGGAGCTGAGGACCGGATATAAAGAATGCTAATGTTGTTCTACCACAAGATGAAACCCAGCTGCTTTTACTCACATTTTAAAATGA